TGAAGTCAGCTATGATTCAACCTTCGAGTGAAAGTATAAAGCGCTATTCTTCTATACAGGTCCATTGAGAGCTCATCGTATGTCCAACGCACCTGAAATGAAGCCGTTCGCAACAACTTATCTGATATCTTTGCTCGATTAGCGATCGTGGAGATTGAGATGAAGAAAGTAGCAAAACGGGACAACAACAAAGCCACCGAAGGCCAGAGCATCCGGCGATCTCTGCGTCGGGGCAACAGTGATTAATGTTTGATTTCCGGCCATTTAGACCGAAGCAAGATATCAGCTTGTGTTAGTCCTAAGGTATATATCTGTAGATGGTTCAACAAGATCAAATGGAATAGAATGCGAGCAAGCTTATAGATGCACCTGGATTGATTGGCTGCGGAATATGCCTCGATAGGCTCGATTCCAAACTAATGACGTATCCACTCTTGTACCATCTTGTCATTGTGCATTGGGATCTCTTGTTTCGCCAATCCTCCACCAAGCTACGCAACACCTTAGGGATATGAACGGAAATGTAACTTAGCGTACCGAAAGGATTTCTCGAGGCCAACCGGCTGTAGCCATGAGATAATTCAAGCCAGCCTTTCAAGTTTTTTTTTTCCAGTTCAAGTCTTTGTTGACCAGGTGTACTCTTGGCCCATCAGTTCCATACTCAGGTTAGGATCATCGTTGCCCGGAGCAACGACAGTTCAGAGTAGTATTATATCACACGTTTTTGCAAATGACTTGAAATCGGTCGAGAATATTTTAAAGACGAGAACCTTCTCCCATCAACGTTAGGTTTAGAACTAAAGCGCTCCCAGCTCTCCTTTCCAGACTTTGCGAATGCTGCCAGATATTTGTCATAACCTACTTGTATACTGGCTACATGCTAAATAGCCAGCTCTACTACATGAATAATTAGGCCCAAAGAAACATATTCATCCCTCTAAAGATCCATTTTCATTGGTTACAGAGGGTTCCTGCAGATCGGGAAGCGGGACATTCGGTTCGGAGAATCTAAAGGGGAAATCGTCGCCCTGAGTAGCCACGTCTCCCTACTCGGGCCAGTCTTCATAAACGGCCCCAGAGCCCGGCAAATAAGATGCCAATCGTTTGTTCTAGAGGGCATCAACCGTATTCCAAAATCGAGTGGTCGTCGACACCAGGTCTCCGTGTGCCTGATCCAACACCAGCTAAATATCATTCCACGGGACCTAGTCCTACAAAGCGGCATTTGTGGACTCCAGCTGCTACTGCAACTTGCCGATCTCTCGCCGGACCCGCTGACTCTCGGCTAATACTGCATCCCGTGTTATAAGAGGCAGCTACAATTTCAAATTTTCTTCGGTTTTCTCGGTTTCAAGTTGTTCATGCAACTGAAAGTATTTGTGCCTCTACTCGTCCCTCTCCTCTTTTGCTTTTTGAATCTCTTCCTCTATATTGCTCATCATCTAGAGACATTTTCTATGTATCGCTTTATCATGCTTCGATCCAGGCTTTTCGTGATACAGGAGGCCTAGCATAATCAGTAGAGTACATCAAGTTACATCGCAGTATAGTATTCGTCACGAAGGAGTCAGAGCATATTGAAAAAAAGTAGAGATTAATACCGTATACTTATACGAGCTAGTCACCGGTTTGATAGGGTTCCGCTCATCTTTGGGTCTAGAGGCAGTAGACCGAACAGAATAACACGAGGGTACAGCACGCAGCTATACTTCGTCAAACCGGCCTACATGCTCCATAGAGGGCTTGTCATTCTTTGCCATGCTCGATCTATTAATGGGATATAGAATGGTTGAAAGAACTATCGGCAGTAGGGGTCAAGAAGATAATATTATATAGCAATAGGTGTAGGCCTAGGCGCAGACTTAAAACTAAATGAAGGTGCACTCCCTCATACCCAACAGCAATGCGAACAACAGGTCATAAACCCAATTGTTAAGGGCTGGGCGCAAGCACAACGCACAAAGTACCTGCCGTTTAATCGTAGAGTACGCGCTCAACTGGGCCGCACAAAGATACACGTTAATACAGACAACGCTATCTCATAGTAAAATTTCAATCGGCCCGAGATACCACCCTAATGCTCTAGGATTCGGCATTTTCTATCAAAAATATTATTGTGTGACTGTCGTCAGCTTCCACGACGCTCTGTAGGTTGACCTGAGAACCTGCGGCGTTCTCACAACTTTAAGATTTACGTCCGCATATATATAGATTTTGAACAAGGCGTTACTTTTGAATACACATAAGTTTCGATTGGCAAGTATCATTGACCATTTTTCCCTCGATACTGGTGCAACTATCGACGCATTTCTTGCTAGTTGGAAGATTCATCAAGAGACACTATTAAGGCACAAGGATCCGTATTTCTACCACCAAACAATAGTTGTAGCAGAAACCAGAACTTGCCTTGATACTGCGATGAAATTGAGAGGTCCAAGTATGTCGTTGATTGGACGAAGTTGACTATCACTTCTGCCCTCAATAGACCGAATATCTCATTGACTTGAAATTTTCAGACACAACATAGCAATCACATGTGAAATCCACGAAAACCAACCATGCTACAATTATCCTTATAAGCTACACATACGTCATTGGCTTCAGCATATATAGTACAGAAATCGTGTCTGTCAACATCGCCACCCCAGCGTTCAATCTCATTGCTCTTCCGCCGAAAACGCCGTTTAAGAACTGAGAATGGTTTACCGTCAAGAGGTTGACATCGTTGTGTCATTTTTGGAATAGACCAATAAGAAATGATGTTAAAACTTTGACAGATGTGCTCGAATTCTGGGGTTCCATGAGAACCATGATTGTCCATAAGTAGAACTCTTGGTCTACCTTTGGTAACTCGCTTTTTCGTGACGAAATGGAAGTCTAATAACCATTGAATTGCAGTTGTATCGTCTGTCCAGCCTTTGGAAGTTGGTTTAATAACCCTGTAATTGGCTATATTGTCGTCGTCTTCGAACCAGTCTTCCATATGCTCAGAACCGCGAATCAAGAACCAAGGATGCATAACCCAACCATCAGCTGAAATACATTCAATGCCAGTAATATTCTGACCAATTACACCTGTTCCAATAGTCTCATTTTGACGGGTAGACACGGCATTTTCCTTTGTTCCGATGCCTAGTTGAAAGCCAGTTTCATCCTAATTATACAATTCATTGGCTTGGATCTTATTCTTTTTGAGAAAATTTCCAAAAATCTCATACCAATGAATCAGTTCACCGTGGGATTCAGCCTCGATTCTCGCTTTTCCCAAAGGTTTTTGGGTTCGGAGGGTAATATGGGGTGGTAAACGTTGGATAAATTGATATCCGTAAATTTTACTAACCCGTCGATCAGAACCGCAGTATTGTAGAATGCGATTTGCAGCATCCTCAATATCAAAAGCATTAGGTGGTGTATAGACCGAATTGAGGAGCTCGATCCAATGAATCAAAGACTTCTCTTGTGACTCATTTAATGCTTGATTGGTAGCTGCGCGCCCTTTTTTACTCGGTCGGCCCTCACTTCGATTTCGTAGCTTCCACTTTGACACCTTAAATGGGAGGCTGCGGACTTGATACTCTTAAATTGATCAGAATTATAGGCTTCAAGCGCATCTGAGAGCATCTTTTTCGACAGAAAACGGCATTGTTTTGGTGGAGAGAATCGGGTTTGAAATTGAATGGTTGAATTTTTTGTGTTTAGGCATTGGCTCACTGACAGGAGGGGACCGACTGTCGGTGAGTGCTTAGTCACAATTTTAGGGTGATGTTCAGACCATGTGCTATTTTGGCCTGCATTTTTTAGCGCAGGGGATTGTTGCTTCAATATAGGGGGATACTATAAATTTGTGCTAAGAAATAATGCTTACACAGAGTTGTGAAGTGTACAATAAGCATTTAGCTGTTGAACATGGGAACTATGTTTGACTGGTGTGTTAGGTTAGGTTTCTTGTTGGTCCTCTCAGGTAGTCCTTTTAATGGTTTTTTTGATTTCAGTCATCTGGTCAAAGAGATATTTTCTCCCCCTTCTCAGTGTGTTGGGTAGACGGCTGAAAACGACGTTTCCTTTTACAGTGAACAAGTGACGGGTATTGTATTAAAGGCACCGCGAAAACGCGGCATGGGCAGATTGCTCAGATAAGTAGTTTGGCAACCATAGGTGTGAAGAAGGAATATCTTTGAAGACGAGAATTGGGAACAGTTGAAGAATGCGTAAAATGTTTCACTTTGAAGCCGAAAAAGAATGAAAAGGGAATTGGAGGGAGGGCCGGTGCACAAGGTTGTTGGATGAGCGCGGTGAAAAAATTTTGATGAAGTAAATGGCCAGAAATAAGGACGAGAGATAATAAATGCAATTGACAATATCAAGTTGAGTTACGAAGTGCAGTAGACGTCGAGAGCGGGTAGTTGTGGTAAGGTCACAAGCTGGTGGGGTAAGCTGATGCATAGATCAATTTCTGGCAAGATCGAGTTTTGGCACCTGACGCCTATGAATTGTCATAGAGTGGATATATCATCTAGCGGTGAAAGAGCGCTGCACCCATTTCTAGAACTGGAGATGATTATCATTGCTCATGTCGCGCCAAAACTTTCGTCAGAGAAATTCTCCACCCAAAGGTGTTGGTGGATCTTGTGGCGTCTCATCTTGCAGCTGACGCCTCTGAACGAAGAAAAGCCAGCGAGGTTTCGGCACTTTTTACTGTTCTCGCAAACAGGCTATGACAAACAGTCCAGACATGAACCTCGCGGGCTTAATGATTTTTATTTTACATTGACGGCCGGGGGCCGGCCGCGGGATCCTCCAAGAGATGGTCGATCGTACCCCAGTTTGCTGGGAACAAGTGGAGCCGAGCTGAACTGAAATGTGGGGCGTTGTTGAATCAGGTGTCGCCCAGATGTGTCTATTAAAAGGCTGCTGGTTTGCCGGAAATGAAACCGAAGAAAATCTTTACATTTCTCTTATTTAACTTTGTACCCAGAAGTGCAGTTGACAAAAAGCCAACCATGGGTATCCGACTAGATGTCAATCTCTTCGATTACAACGGGGGAAAAGCCAAGAAGACCAATTGCGTCCCCTTGAAAGACTTTGAGATCTCCAAAAAGAATCTCAGTGATATACGAGCGGTTTTGATAGACAATGGAGGTCTTGATGCCAGCAAGTATGTATTTGGATGGGGGAAGTGATAAACAGAAGCTAATGCCCGTCCAGAGCAGGAATTGCCTTCTGTACACCGAATGGTGCTCTGGTGAATGATTCCACGTCATTTGTAGATTACATGGAGATTCTATCCGACGATGTGGAAGAAGAGGAGAAGGAAGAGGAGATGAAGAATGAGGGGGAGGATGCAAAGGAAAAATCCGCCAAATCCGTCAGATCTGCTAAAGCTACGGTCCATAATGTTTACATCAAGGGGAAAGAGAAAAAAGGCGGCGACCGGACGGCAGAGGCGAAGGAACTCATCAAAAAAGAGCTGAACCTAAAGCTAAGTGTACGCCTATCTCAAATTGCCCACGTTATGCCAGCGAACTGAGTTGACGATCTATGCAGGACAAGCCTGAACTCCTTCAAACATCGCTCGATCAACTAGCGACCTCCTTCAACCGCGCAGACTGGATGGCCACGGAGAATAAGACAGCCATGTAAGTGGGATTCAAACACCAGAGAACCACCACTGACGGGTCACGCCAGAAATCCGGCTGACATGTCTGAGAAGGATTGGAACGCTGTCCTCCGCAATAACAACCTTTTGAGCGCCCATCGGATGGTCTTTTCCAACCTGGGGAAATTGACCAATGGAATGAAGGCAGTAAAGTTTCGCAGAATCGAGCGTGCTCCCTATAGTGGCAAGTGACCTGAACCTTTCCTGGTATCTGGTGGTAGTTGTTTTACTGAATTATTTGCCAGCTTTTGTTTTGAAGCCGAGAAAGTTCGCTTCGCATGAGATTCCTGGTGCGGATGTCAAGATCCAAGTTTGTCTCCGCACCCATGGACTAGTTGTGCAGCGCTAAAATGTCCACAGAAAGAGTTCCACATCCCCCGATTCACTGTCGGAGATGATTCCTATGTAGACGCCTTCGAAACCAAATCCTCGGTGGCATCAGCCATGGCACGCAGTTCATTCTCGTCAATCGAAGCTGAAGCCTCCATGTACGTCGCTCCCGGATTGTTTAGCCGTCCTCTAATTTCAAGACAGTGAAGGTGGAGCATTCGGCTTCAGTGCTGCCATAAGCGCTGGCTTCTCGCAAAGTGAGAGCGGTGCTCTGAGCAGTACAAACACCGTTGACACTAGTACCATGAACATCACTTACAACGTAAGTTTTTCGTCTTTGTTCTTTTACCGTCAAACAGCTCATGAAGCCTTTTAATTAGTTCCCTCGAGTCGTTCTGTATTTGGATCAGTTTGGTGTCGCCCTGTCACAAGAATGCGCGGACGACCTAGTGCATGTGAAGGATGCGTCGTCCTTGATCGCTTTCCATCACAAATACGGTAGAACTTAATGAAAACCTCTCCGAAGCAAGGCTGATTAGTAACAGGCCATTTCTTTGCCACCCGCATTGAACTGGGAGGCAGGCTCTTTTCATCTGAAAAGTTTTCCGCCCTTGGCACGGCAAAGGAAGATGAGGCCGCTTCGGCGATGAAGATTGCTGCCGCTGCATCCTTTTCGTCTAGTTTTGTGTCTGGAAGCGCCAGCTATGGCCAGGAGGATCAGACAAATTCCAAAAATTCCAAATCAAACCGATCCATGCAGAGCGCTATTTCATGGCAGGCCCAGGGCGGAGACACCTTGCTTTGCAACAAGTAAGTTGCTGTTTTGCGCCTTCCCCCAATCCACCTAAATTGACGTTCTCGTGTAGCCCTCCTGCGTGGTGCCCCACTGTTGCTCCGCCTCAGAATTGGAGAGTAATCAAGGTAACACCAGTTCACATCTCGTGACTATACATGTACCTGCTCTGATACCAGATTACAGCAAGAGGATGTCACTCCGCTCGGCGAGTTCATTGGCCAGATCCCCGGCTATGAAGATGTTCCAGCGAAGTTCAAGACCATTGCGGAGGTTACAAGGAAGAAGGAGACGGTTAGCTTCTGCATCAAATTGACCGACTATCAAAGAAAAGACAAGAAGGTTCCTGAGTATATGTCACTGCGCCATGCCAACAACATCAGTAAGTACTTTTTATACCCCACCAATGTCAGGGTAGAAAAGTAACCTTTTTCTCAAAAGAACGAGAGGTGGAAGAGGCAATGGGGAAGAACAAGGACGGTAAATGGACAGATCGAGCTCCAGATCGCATCATGTCGCTCTACAACAACGGATGGAAGGGAATTTCTTTCGAAGAAAGCAGCGAGGACGCTGTCTTTGATGTTGAAGTTGAGACGTTGTTGGAGCAAACCCCCGCAGTAGGTTTTCCCCACATCCTAAAAAGCACTATCTAACGGAGCCGACAAGCTCGAATTTGGGAAACGGTACCAAATCTACAACCGGAAGCAAAAGCTTTGGCTTCAATCTTTCACAATTCGTATTAAAGACGAGGAAGTTACCTTACTTGGCGCCGGTCCTAAGTCCCAAGCGACACTCTTCGAGTTCAGGGATCAGCATCGAGAGGGGCCGATCCGAAATGGGGAAAGCGCTAGTTTGATGGTTTACGGGCCTGATGGAAAGCAGAAGGGTTTGATCGCCAAGGCAATAAACACCCATTCCACTTCCATCGGTGCAATGCCCTACAGTGTCAAGAACGAGACCTGGATACGTTTCTCGACTTTGTCGGTTGTGGACCAGAAGGATGTGCCCGTATAAAGGCGCAATTCTGCAGAGCAGGTTGGGACTATCGGATGTTACGTTTTTTGGAGGACAGATGGAATGATTGGTTCTCGGTGACCCATCAGTTAGTTGCGGCCCCGCAACTGATTAGTGAATAATGTAATTCACAGCCAAGCTGCGCACCGAAAATTATCTAGTCTATATTGCAAAAACTCTCGTAGTAGAAAACGGTAAGAATGATAGGGACATTCTATCCCATGGGGGTGGGGTTACCGTGGCTCAATAGGGTTAGGGTTTTGAAGTAACTTTAGAACAAATTGGTGAAACTGAATTCGAGCGCGTCTCTATGTTCATCTCCCCTCTATGACTCAATCCCTTTTGCGACAACGTTGTACAACATGTCGCTTTCATTTACTAGAAAAGGCCCTTCCGAATAAACTCTTTGGTTTGTGATCTTTCAGCAACATTATCCAGCTCGAAGTGGATGATGGTAGAATATTCCGAGATTGTAGATTGGGGAGTCCTGTGGTCAACCCCGGCGGATATTGATTCTGGGCACCCAGGAGACTTTTGCCAAACCTGTCTTACTCTGCTTGATCACCCAAAACACAAAAATAAACAGACAAGCGTGATGAATCGACACGAAATTCTTGCCACAACGACAAGAGCAGGGGATCTCAAAAAAACCTTGATCTCGGGTTTGATCCAGAATGGTTGCATGAGAAAATCACCTAGTGGGAACGGGCTGACCCCACTGCAACTTGAGGAGCAACTGTTGTTATCACTTGCGTTGGATTCTTGGACCAGTCCATTTCAGCAAGCATTCATGGCAATGAGATTATATTTCATTGATAAGAATTGGATTTACCGGGAAGTGCTCCTTGGATTGGCTAGACGTAGAGCGATTGGAAAAGAATCATTAGGACTGGACGGTCGCCACATAGGAAAAATTTTCAACGAATTAAAAAAGCCGGAGAAATTGATGAGAAGGAAGTTCAGCAAAAAGCAAATAAGCCGATGAGACTGATGATGAAACAAGTCCGCACCATATTTGGCGATTTCAGTGTCTCGACATTTATACGACTGGTAATAAATTGGGCTGATTCGCTTCCATAAAATACGTCTCATTTTGTCCAATAATGCTTCCATTTTTGATTTCTGAACATCTACGATTATGCGCTTATAGTTCTAGACCCGTTTTCTGTGAGTTAGGTTGTGCAACTAATTTTTAATGACAGTGACTATAAAGTAAGAAGATATCCTGTTTCTTAATCATTGAGAGAAGAGCGACAACCCAAATCACATTTACTCGAATCTTTTCAACTTCACCATGCTATCTAAAAGAATTCTGTTCATTGCTGTCTACTTGGGCTCAGTCGCCGCCCAATTCGGGCCTTCCGGCGCACATTTACAATCAGGCACTGAGAAATGCGAATGCTCGGGCAGCCAGGTCTCATGCGGTTCTTTCGATATTTGCGGCGTTGGTAACACCGATGCCTCTGTCGAACTACAAAGCAGCTGTACTGCAACACTCACCTGCACTAACAGAGGCGGTAATACAGTCGATGTTAAGACGCAGTCTGTCACTACGTCCTCCAACGTTGTCAGAATAGATGCTAGAGATGGCTGTGTGAGAATCCCTTCAGTGCAACTTAACGAGCCATCGGCTAGTCAACTCGAGCCTGCTGCAAAGTGCCCAAACGGGAACTGGAGAAAAAGCGTCGTTGCTGGAAGCGTTAATTGTGACTTTTCTGAAACAGTGACGTTTGCTGGATGCCAAAGTACATTTACTACTATATCAGGCTCGTGTCTTCCTGCCTGATACATATCCAGAGATTAGTGAGCTCGTCAAAATGTTGTCTATGGAAATTTTCAAAACAGTTGTGGTGTATGTATTCATGTTCCAATTTGTTCATTCTGTTTGTTTTGTCCCATGAAAAGCTGTGAACGTTTCTTATGCTCCTTTATATGCTTTTCTATTAGTAATGATGAGCCTTTAGCTTAGCCTATAGGGCGTGAACATTTAAATTGGATAATTGAATTAACGAGAATTTTTGAATTTTTGACTTAGAGCTAAGTGATACCTTGTTAATTAGGATTTGTAAGATTATCGTGGTGTGATCCCCAACATACTATATTTTCTTCAAATTTACTGCCTTCACGTCTGTTTCTGGCACATGCGCCGGCAGGCTATTCCAATACCGGTTAATTTAGGAAATAGAGCCTAGATGAAGCCGGAAGTTTAGCCATCATTTCCCCCAAGCCTAGTATACATCGCAAAAGTACTTATATAGGTGGATGAAGGATCTCTCAGGTCAGGATTGCCCCCTTTCTAATATATTCTATACATCCAATCAATACTATATAAAGCTTGCTTTATCATATGCTCACAGCTTATTTTCCTAATTTTATCAAGGTCTTCCGCATCATATAATTAATCATGTCTAGTCAGTCCTACATCATCACCATACGAGTTTCTCTCGAAAAATACAATAACAAGATTGACTTCATTAAATGGTATAGTTCAGCCTAGGGAAATTGAATTGGCAGCCGGGAAGTAACTCTGGTAGGTGAGGATAGCGATCAGCCTAACGCCTCCTACGGTCTGCCCCATCACAGTATCCCTGTCCGTGTCCAACTCTTCACGTGGCATCGTCCAGGTTTTAAATTAGATAATTTCGAAAACTGTGGTCACTGACAGTTGAGTAGGCAACTGTTATTATCATCTTCTTTATTTTTTTCCGCAATTTGTATCAAAACCAGTGATGGGATTCGTTTTTGGAGCACAAAGATTTGCACGAATAACTGATAAATTAGAAGGCGCGATGTCCTCTCACATTATCAGAAACAAGGAACGTCTCGCAAGCTTCCATGCAGCGAGCCTCGCAACCGTAACTTCCCCAAGATTAGTAGAATTCACACAGGTCAGGCTAAGATTCACATACCTGCGACGCCGATATTAGCCTATCTCTTAGGAGTGCACACAGTGGCTGTACAGTAGATCAGCTAGTCGGCTGCTATGGCGGAGATATCTGCACATGGACACCTTGACCCTCTAATCAAAACTCATATCTTTATTCGGCTGGTGTGAATGGCAGTGCATCTGGTGGGAATCATACCTGTATCTCTCACAGGCACTGTCTGGCTTGTAATCCTCGATGTATCCTATAAATGTCAGTACAGTGGAAATTCGGTTCTGGGCGAAAGGAAAGAACTTATCAGGTGACTCAGACACAAGCCTGCTCGACTTTGGAGAGTCAGGTGAATAAATTGTAGAGCAAAATTGCCGGGTAGAGGACATATTTATATACTTTGCGGCTCGTCTTGTTGCGTAAGTGCGATGCTTGGTAGAAAGCGCTGGGGACACCTCGTAATTGAGGCCTTTTGAGACTCATTCAGATGCTCAGCGGGAGAGACGAGCAATCTTGGTGTCGAGAATGGATGGCGAGTCGGTCAGGAAACGTTGGCTTACTGTTGAATCCTTCACGACCTCCAAACTGAGGATTTGTGGGAGATGCAATGACAGGGTCATATTTCTTGTTCTGGTACCTCATCTGTGAGCAAGTCAAAACGTTGATTCACCAAAAAGCGCCCACAATTTCAACCCTAGAAATCATGGAACTTTTTTCCTAGCCTCGCTTCAATGTTTTGTTGGTTGTGTGGAGATGTGAGTCTGTCCGTGTAGACTGTAGAAAGCGAGGTCACGGTCGGGCGTGTGGGTTAGCCAACGGTTACGTGCTTCGTCAAGTTCCATTGTCGCAAAACAGTCTTCCCCTTTCCTGATTTTCTCGTTCCTGCCCTTCCCTTCCATTTCAATGTTTCAGGGCCACAGCGTGCGCAGCACGCGTCACTAGTCTCATTGGTGCCGGTTGGATCCCAGGTCACGTTCCTTCTCGTGTTCGGTTGTCTCTTTTTGTCTCTTTGCTTCCTAATCATCCTGCTTTGTATGTTTTGCAAGGATCATCCATGTATTTCATTCCGTATACCCTTTCTGTCCGCTATCGTATGCTCTCTGCTCTCAAAGCTATCGCCTATAGCAATCTCCGCGGTACAAAAGGTGCTAAACCTATCGCTAGAGCTGTCGCTAGAAATATCGCGGTCTCTTGATAACCGCTACCGCCACCGAAATATACGGAAGCGTGTTGACGTTTAGCCCCAAAGAGCTAGCCCTTAGATCCCGACTAGATCGGCGACTAGTTCGCGGACTAAGCCACTCCGAATCACCTATCCGGGGCTGCATCCCCCAGAAGTGGACGCCCTTGATAATGAGAACGAAGAACCACACAAAATTACATGACTAGAGACCGCCGACGAAAGCGAGCCCTCGCCAGAGGCTCACACACCACCTCCTAAGAGGCGTTCTCGAAGACGACGTCAACATTATAAACTGATATACTTGCACAATCGAAATACAATACAATGGCTGATTAGCATATTCCTGGTCATTCTGTTTTCTAGAGTGATGCGGCTATTGGTCATATTACATGTCTTCTCATTGGTCAACGCTCATTGCATTGTCGAATATTAGTTATCAGTCACCGTAAAACGCCCCATTTTCCGTATTTTCTCGTCCCTGCCCTTCCATTTCATCGTTTCAGGGCCACAGCGAGCGCAGCGCGCGTCACCAGTGCATATCGGATCCCAGGTCACGTGATGTATATAGATTTATAGGAGTGGCTGCCTGTTAGGCAGACAATCCGCTAGGCAGCAGGGAGATGAGCTGCTGCAACTACAAATAGCTTGATCTCGCAATATAACTAGATCAATTATCACACTTGTAGCTTAATCCAGGGTTCAACTCGCGAGGGGTCGGGGTAAATGAAATCATCATCATTATCATCATCATCATCATCATCATCATCATCATCATCATCATCATCATCATCGTCTGTACTTCCAAGCACGCCACGTCTACATTAAGCTTGAACGAAGCGGGGCAGCCATGCATTCTTGGAAGTCGTACAGAGAAGATGATCTTGGTATATGACCGAAGCTTTTCCAGCATTCTGAATTTGTTTTTATCATATGTGAGCCTGGTATATAAGCCTTTGGATCCTTCCTCTTACGTTCAGCCATGAAGAAAACTCGCAAAGCTTCAAAAGACTCGACCGATGATCTAGAGCGCGTTGGCCCCTCACCTAACACATCAAATGGGGTGGCCCAGCAGACTATTCTCAGGCTTATTGCTAGCTGAGGCTACACAAATAATCTCGTATGACTGCCTTGGTATTGATCCTCCATGGTACAACGGTCTAGAAGCCTTAATGGAAATTCCAAATGATTCTTACACTATCTCTATCTCAACGATCGTCACGCTGACATTGTACATGTACATAGTTGGTATCCGGCGGGCGCAGAGAAAAAAAGGGAAAAGAAGAAAAGGATGAATCCTCAGCCTCCAGATCCCAGGGCAGGCAGGAAGCCTTTCCCACCTCTCCGCCGACCGTCCTCTATCTCTAAATCCGCGACTCCCCCCACTCCACCCGAGCTACCTGCCCCACAACGTACAGTCCAGGAGAAATTCTTTATCCGGACCACCTACTACACCACCATGGCCAGAGCCCTGTCATTCCAAGGACAAGTGCTCAATGGCGTCACCCCGCTTCAACTGGCTCAAAACGGCTTTCACTACCAACCACATACAAGCTCCGGTAGTCTGGCCTGCTGCTTTGTTTCTCGAAAGTTCAAGCGCCTAGACAGCTTTCAATATATACCTTTCCAAAAGACACAGCTCCCACACTCGAGAGACTGCTTATGGCAGGCCATCTACAATGACTTGAAACAACATTCCGAAACTGTTGATACACTTACCCCCTCAACGAACGCACGCCCACCACCTAGATTAACTCCCCTCCACCATTCTTCTCCGAATAGTGCAACTCTCAAGAAAATTACCACAAACGCTAGCACACAGACACCGACCCAATCAACACCAACAGTGCCCACTACTGTAATGAACAACCCATACACTCAACCTCCATCCACCACCAACATCGATCCAGAACCTCAACTACCTCTAACCTCCCACGCTCCCCAGCTTCATCTAACGATACCCTCCGTCACTCCCTCACTCTAAATCCAACAGAAAACCTATGCTTTCGTCCTCCAACATCCTGCCACGTCTATACCGCAACCGAATCCCCAAGTACAAGAACCTACTCTCCCCGCCAATCCCATACTCACCATCGAAGGTCTTCACCGCCGTTTTCACAATAAACCGTCACCGTTCTAGGTCGAGAATAAGACAAGCCAACGCTCAATAAAACGAACTCGGAACAAAAGTGCATCTGCCACACAGTCACTTTCCAAATTCTTAGCTTCAACTTTGCCTGCTTTCTCGCGGTTCCTAACAGAGACGCAGCCAAAATCGGACAGTTGCTGTCCGTCTCATTCGCATATCTATCACAGCCGCGCCATGAAGGCAGCCTAACGTCACAAACGGCACCTGGGCCACGACAGGCCTTGACGAGGCTCCAAGTTCGTTTTCAGGAAATGGGACATTACACATGTACATACAAGGATATATATAGCTGTTGTATCCTGTATATCGCCAAAAGCGAGAGGTCGAGGTAAACGATATCATCCATCCATCCATACTGTACATAGTTGTGCATTGAATGGTTTTTCCGGGTCAAGCCGATCACTCACTCCAGACGGATAAAGATGCATTTACATTCATCTAGCCCAGAAGTCAAACCTAGTGATATATCTCACACCGTGTATTTAAAATACCTAGGCGTACGGGTCCGGGGTAATTGCGGCAGAAACTTCAATCTCGAATAGGTAGTTGCGGTCCATCTCTATCGGCTTTACTTTGTTCATAGCCTCAATATCGAAGACTGAATCCTCTGGCAGGTATAACCTAGTAAAAGCGAGTATTAGCTGGGGTTACCGATTCCTGTCCGAGACTTATGGACAGTGATATAATTGTGGAGGCTCAGGGAATACACACACTATCATGTCCCTGAAGGGAAGCCCTGACCCCAGAAACTTCCATTCCATTTCTTTTTTGGGCATTTGCCTTCTGAGCTCGGGCACTCCAAATCTGCTGTAGAGGCGATTCAGGCTATCGAAACACATTAGTATTTACCCGGTTATATGCAAAGGGAAGTTAAAAGTACGCGGGCCTCATTCTATAGTACTGCGAGCAGTGCTCGAAGTACAGTTGGTTCTCATAGGACGCAACGAATTTCTTGCTGGATAGTTAGCTTAAAAAGTCGTTAGAAGGTAGATTCATATTAAGGAAGGTGAACTGACCAGTTCTAATCTGTTTTTTTGGGAACTCATATTGAGGGGGGCTTTGATCATTCGGTTTTGGTTAGATTTAATTTGAGATGTTGGGTGTTTCTGTTGTCAAAAGCCTTGGAGATTGGCAGGACGCGTGGAGATTTATATATTAGTAGGTGGGTAACCATCGGTTAACGCTAACACACCTCGAAAATAATCTGTAGCCACTATACATGTATACGCTATGTTCTATAACGTCAGAGGCGTTGTATAGCATAAAAGTAATGCAGATATTACCCCGTCGGTTTGACGATTGAAATTACATCCGCGTATAAAATGGAGCTCATGAGGGAAGATCGGCATCTTGGTGATAGCCACGTCACGATTAGTGGGTCAGACTATTCAGCTGAGATTCACTGAGGAGTTAATAAGATTTCAAAAGCCATACAGTGGAGCCAATTTAAGACAGACCACTCTATTGTGGTTTAGATATATTCAGTGAACGAGGGCCGAGCTCTACTGTATTAGAACAGCCCACGGGAAGTGAAAGCCAATAAGTATGTGCGCGAGGGAAATCTCTGCAGATGTATCACGTCATGATCCTCACCTGGAAACGAGAGTTCCTCGCCAAGCTTAATAGAGTCCATACTCAGCATACGCATAAGGGTTACGGTGCTTCGGGAGAAAGACGAGCTTCAGATTCCCATCCCCTCACTATCAGGTGATCACGTCTAGAAGTCAAATATTGTCTGCCCGCCTAGAAGGCGGTGTAATTAAAAGCACAAGATGGAACGCGACGGCATTAGCGATTTGGGTTATGATGATTTGCTCACCATATCGCAAAAAGATCTCTATCAGAAGGCTAATTTGAATGCGGAGAGTCTATTCGCAATGGCTTGACTTTGGAGCAAAAATGGTGCAACAATTATTGATTCGGGGATTGAGCAAATATATAACAAACTATTTTACAGAGTACGGACTCTACGGCTTCTAGAGGGCAAAAGGAGCGGCAAAGCGTAGCTAAATTGAGTATATTATATAGGCTTTGTCCAATACCAGCTTACTGGCTTAGGTCATGCGCCGAAAGCTGACAGCAAAATACTGCAGGAGCTGTCAGGAGGAATGATAAGCCAGAGCCGTGCATTCCAAAGACCTGCTTGATAATTGCCGAAGAAAAAGTTGGGCATTAATATGGGTCTTGAATTCGAGTGAGCAATTAATCAGATCTTGGTTGGGACCCGGCCAGAAGGAAGAATGTGATACATAGGTGGTTCGCGCAGATCATCCGGCCTTATTTTCAGTCAGTTTTATGTGGATCTCATCGTGCACGCAACGGGAAATTCCACTTGACTCGGCCGAAACTCTGTCACTTGGTATTCATACATAGAATTGGATATATACGTGATGACTGCTGGTCTGGACTCTGAATCAGCAATGTTTGCTGGTCCGTTCCAAGGTTATCTGGTAAAGCAGCCGTTGTGCCAAGGAATCAGGATATCTTGCCCTTTCAAGTTTGAGACCTCACTATTTTGCCTGACTCGAAACTCAGACCCAACTCGGAAAAGGGAGGATTGGAGAGAAACAGTAGGTTTTGACTTGAGTCTAATAGTTTCGGGATAAAAGAGGGTCTACTCGGTTGATAGCAGGGCAGGGCTTAGTGCGGGCAAGTACCGTGCACATACGAACGGCTTATAGACTCAGCTTTGCGTTTTGAGAGGTACGGTGTAAATTTCAAGTGGGCCAGTGAAAATCAGAATAGACTGAATGAGGTGTCGAGGACAATGTGGTTTAAGTGGTCAAACGAAGAGATCATTTCAGGCGGAGAGCAATTCTTTCCCTTGAAACCCTGCGCCATGGTGGCGGTTATTAGCGTCCGGTAGAATTTCGAAGGAGTTTAAACCACTTTGCATTGATAATTGTCGGCCAAAATTGTGGTACTCCGGGCATGCAGGCTACCCCTCTTTGAGATGGCATCTGCAACCAATGGTCTGCGCTAAGCAAGCCCAATATCGTATCAGTCAAGTGCTCAGCTTTTTCTCCGGATATCAAAATAAATAAATAGGCGGTTTACAGTAATCAGGAGCAGTCCCGGCTTCCACGCCTATTGGAAAGGGATTTTGAGGAGGGTGGAACAAGAGGGTTTACCAGATTGTCCAAGCACAGATCTCCTAAAGTTTGCCTTGTTTGCAGCGAAGGTTCTCGAAGCAGCGATATTTATAGAACATGTCAAGAAAAGTGGTCTTTACAGTACTAGCTTACTCGAGTTTTAGCAGCACCCATTTTGCTTACTCATTTGCTACAGTATAGATGGCTACTTCGCCAAGCCATACACCGCTTTTTGAGCACTGGTTAAATAGCGCAGCATCAGCTTGTCCTAGAAATTTACACTCATTCTATGATATCAGACCGACCATTGGTCTATTGTAGAACTAGCGCGTACCGTACCTCTTGGAATCGACAGATTCTCTCTTTGTCTCTGTATGGTAAACGGGGTACGCTCGGCATACCAGCGTCGTAACACGCTAGGAATGACTCCTGAAACCTGATAACGCTTCAACAGCAAGATCCATATAGATACAACAATCAATGCATCTCAATGGGACACCACAATACTAGCACATAACAGTATCTCTCAATCCGACAAAGTTGTTTGACGCACGAGCCAAGGGGCTGCGAGATACGGGTAATCTTGGCAGGAGCATTACAAGTAATTTAAAGAGCCTTCTACAGGTGTGTGTGTGTGTGTGTGTGTGTTTTCATTTACCCTGACCCCTCGCAATGAAAAGCGATATGTAGGCTACCTCAACTATATAGTTATATCCCTTTTAGGTACATGTAGATTGATCCACTTCCTAAAAACGAACTTAGAGCCTCGTCAAGGCCTCTCGTGGCCTAGTTGCCGTTCCCGTTGTTAGGCTGCCCTCGTGGCGCGCGACTGCGAAAGCGCTGTGACGTCTCAGCAAAGTCTAGCACGGCCTGGACCGTCTTGGCTCGCGAGACGGTGTCTGGTTTACCTTTTTTACCTTGTTTTGAGCCTTCTAGTAGACTCGATACGCTATTAAACGCGTTCTCCATTTCTCTTTTTAGCTTCCTTCGCAATTTCACCAGCCTTGGATAGTCCACAAGTATGTGGGTAACTGTTTCTTGCGTGCTGTAATCACAGCGGTCGTCGTCGTTATAGCTAATCTTCTTGCGGTAGGTGGACAGCTAATTGTGGCCCGTGTGTAGCTGCGTTAGTAGGTACGCCCGGCCTCTGGGCAGGCTTCTGTATAGCTTTTTGGTATGTGCCGTCGGTAAATTGTCGTTAATCTTTTGTAGATGACCGCCTTTATTGGATGTTCTCTATTCCTGTTTCTATTGAGTGGCGATTTTGCTATGGATGAACGTCTTTTTCTTTGTGAGTAGTGGGTGGAAGGGGTGAGATTTGTCTGGGGTGGCGGCGTGCTTTGTTATTTGGTCTGTAGTGTCGTTGTTGGGATTGTTATAATGTCCTGGGATCCACTGAAGGCGTAGCGCGATCCCTGCAGTCTGGATCTTGGTGGCAGCTTGGTGGATTGTGTGGACGATCTGTTGTCCTGACTTGTTTCTCACGTTCTTGATTGTTTGTAAGGCTGACTTGTTGTTGTAGAGTATAGTTGTAGTTGTTTGTTGATCTTCTGTTCTTGATTGTTGGTGGGCTATTTTGAACATTGTGCTGACTGTGTGGAAGATGTCTATTAGCTCTGCTATGTGGACTGACTAGCGGTCTATTGGCCTAACCTGGAACTATGCTATCACTGTGGCCCCCAAATGGTTGTTGTGTCTTGAGGTGTCTGAGTAGATGATAATGTCTGATGTTGACTGGATGGTCTTGGCCTGCTCTCTTGCTACTTCTTGGTCTGAGCTGACTTCGATCTCCACGAATGGGTCGACTTGTTATGGTGGTAGTGGCTGTGGGTTGATTGTCTTGAGCTTGTTGAGTCTTTCTAGGTCTATGGTCTTCAGTGCTTCTGCCAGTGGGAAGCGAGTGTATGACCCGATATTGTTTCTACGTTTTTGGGCTCGCAAGAGAGTCTCCTAAATGGGATGTTCTCGTGGTAGCGTATAGAGATTTGTAATGGTATGTTGGGCTTGGTGACGAAGGTGGATGTGGGTGGGAAGGATGTGTGTTTTTATTTCTAGGGTTGTTGTGGCTATTGTTCTGAATGCTGACAAAATACGGACCAACGAGGTTCTTTGCATTGTGTTCAGGTGCTGAAGGTGAGTTTTGTCTTTTAATGGGTCGTGCTATACCGTTGATGTATAATTAACTATTGGTGTGACGTATGATTGGTAGAGCTGTTGTATCTGTTCTGGGTGTAAATGTTGTAACCTTTCTAGAGTAATTGTGACTTTGGTTGCGTGTTTGATTGCTTGTTGTACGTGCTCCTTCTATTGTATCTTTTGGTTGAAACTCACGCCTAATAACTTGGCTGTGGGAGAGGGCGAGACTGTCGTTTCGTTCATGACTATTTGACGTTGTAAGTGTTTGGATTTCTTCTTGGTTAGGTGTATAAGCTTGGTCTTTTGAGCTGTGAAGCAGGACTAGTTTTGCGTGTCTATGTCTCGATGTGGGGGATGTCTTTAGATTGTATTTTGGCTAAATTCTCTTCTGTTGAGTGGCTTACTCTCTAGTGGAAATAGTCGTTGATAAATGTCGAGGTGTTACTGTGTAGAGTGATGGGTTGGTTTATTAAGTTGGTGTTGAAGAATGTAAAGATAATAGGGGATAGAGGAGACTTTTGTGCTAGTCTCGTGTTTTTCAAGGGTGCTATCTTGGTGTGGTAGTTATTAAATCCTATGCTAGTGTATCGATCGCTTATGAAGCTTGTTATCTATTTTTTGGCTATGGCTGGGATTCTTTTGGCTTGCAAGTAGGTATTGAGGCTGGCTTGTTGGACTTCGTTGAAGGTTCTTTTTAGGTTAAATGAGACGAGAATTACTACTTTGTGCTTGTACCATGCCTGGTCGACTGCGTTTGACAGTATTAGTAGGGTCTGTTTGGTGGTTCTTTCTGGACGTCTATTATATTGAGTATCTGGTAGTAACCTATGTTTTTTTGCGAGGTATGAGGGTCTTCGGGCTATTACGGCTTCGAGAAGCTTTCCTAGCGTGTTAAGGAGTGAGATCGGACGGTAGGTCTCAGGGACCGAGTAATCTGGCTTCCTGGGTTTTCTTAGTACCACGATTTTGGCGTTCCGCTATTGTTTTGGGTGGTACCCTAGACTTAGTGATGTGTTAAATATCCTGGTAATATGGTCTTTTAGGTGTTCCTATAATTGCTTTTATACGAGTATTGGTAGATTGTTTGCTCTTGGTGTGGTGGTCCCTTTTGTAGTTTTGAGTGATCGTTTAATCTCTACTTTGGTGAGAGGCTGTCACGGGAGCTCTAATGGTGTCGATGTTGTTGGATTGGCCTTGGGTGTATCTATTTTAGGGAAGAAAGAATGTAAGAAAGTTTGCGCCTTGTCTTTGTTCTCGGTAAGCTTCTGGTCGTTAACCTGCAGTGCTGGGACGCACCTCTAGGTCTCTTGTGGTTTTATGTAGGTGGCTGTTTTCCAGAGTTTTCTGTCTTCGGCTTTGTTTAGAAATTGTCTTCAATGTGATGCTTTGGCTTTTTTAATAGTCCGAGTCTACGTTCGTCGGCTTTGTTGTATTTTTTGGAAGGTAGCGGTGGAATTGGGATGGTCTCGCCCGAGCATTCTGCAGTTCTCTTGCTATCTTTGACGTAGTTGGTTAATATTGGTTTGTTGAACTTTGAAGTCTGGCGTGAACCACTGTTTGGAGTATGGCGTTGGGCGTTTGTCCGGTGTTAACTTATTTACTGTTGCTGTTGTTACTTTCGTTAGGGTTTGGATAGCCTCGTCTAGTGCTGGTCGAGTTTTAATTTCTTTCCTTAGGCCGACTCGCTGTACCACCTCCTCGCCAATTTTGTTCCAGTTCGCACGTTCGTAGGATTTTCTTATCTGTGTGGCTTGCTTGTTGTGGGCGTGGAGATTCCATTCGGAATACGTGGCGCGGTGGTCGGATCCGTAGTTTTCGTGGTAGAGATGACACTTGATTAGTAGCTCTGGCCGGTCCGTCACCGTTTGGTTAATGGTGGAATTCCTTCCTGGGTCGCCTAGCGACTAGTAGGTTGCTGTTCCTTGAGGTAGGCAGCTGTGAAGACCGTTCGCTTGGAAGAAAGTGATTAGGTCACTAGCGTCTTCGATGAACTGTGGTTGAATGTGGTTGCCGCCTTATATTGGGTGATGGCGGTTGAAGTCTCTGCTGAGAACGATGTTCGTGGGTCGCTGATTGTTTCGTAGGGTGGTTGTGATTGTGTTTTGAATCGCTGTGAGGGTCGATTTTGCTAAAGCTTCGTCGGCTGTACATAGAGGGACAGAGGGGATATAAACGGAGAAGAAAAGGATTTGGGAATTAGATGTCCAGATCTTGATAGTAGTGATATCTGGATGGTCGTATAGGATTTGTTGGTGTGACGAAGTAGAGATCCTCTGATTTATATAGATCAGGTTGTGGAATCGGACTGCATCAGTGTTGGTTGTCGGATAGTAGAGGCGTTAAGAGCTGTGGTTGACGTGGGTGCGGTAGGTAGTGATGGACGGTTCCTGGATAAGGAGTATATCTAGGTTTTGACTTTGGCGATTATTGATAAGGGCCTCTATCCTTGGTCCTGATTTCATTATGTTCAGCTGTAGCATGCGTAGGCTCGTCTCTAATATTGGGGGTGGTTGGAAGTTGCGGGGGTAGGGCACTGTTGGTTATCGGTTGGGTGTTCGCCCCTGCAGTCGAGGTATCGGGGTCTCACTCCTGGGGGACATCGCTGTCTCTTGTGTTGACCCGCGCACTGCCCACACCGTGGTGTTTCTTTGCACGACCACGCCAGGTGTCCGAATCGCTGGCATCGAAAGCATCTCTTTTTCTTAATCTCGCGGCGTTCCACGCTGCCGATGTATCTCTGGCCCACTAGAAGACCTTTGTTGAGGATGCGTTCAGCTCCCTTCGTCGAGTTGAACTATATTCTAAGCGATGCGAATTTCCCTAGTATTTTGTCCTTCCTCTTGAGCCACGCCACTTCCTGGATCTGGAACCCATGTCCTATCAGGTCATTTTCTTCTATGATCTTTCCGATGGCCTGGGCATTTTTGTTATCGAGGTCGAAAATTTCTGTCGGCGTCCGGTGTACGACGATGTCGAATCGTGGCTTGACTAGCTTCGAGTTGTTTTCTAACTCGTTCAACTATTCGGTGTTGTTGCGGGCTAGCTCGGCCGACTTGGTGTCCTTGAATTGAATCACGTAGCCTGTCTTAGTAGTGACGATGCCGGCGACCTGGGCATCCTGGGTTGGTGGAGCATTTATTAGTGCGGTGCGGATATGGGTGTTGGTGGAATCTGTGGGGAGGTATCGGCCGAACGTGTTATCGTCACTATTATTGTTGTCTCGTGGGTCAACCAGCGAGCGCTGGGTGTAGATGCGGACGCAGTTCTCGTCTTTTTCGGGTCGTTGGTGCGCCGGTTGGGTCGTAGTGCTGTTGTCACCGGCGGCCACCGTAGCCCATGACTTGTTCGGCGGTGTAGGTGGGGGAGTTTCGACTTGTGTCCGCAGCGCTCGAACCTCCTCGAGAAGTTTCTCATTCTGAGCTAAGAGAACGTTTTGGTCGTGTTTCACCTCTTGAAGCTCGTCTTTAGTGGCTTGGATGAGTGTGGTTTGGTGGTGGATGATGTCTTTGAGGCTGTCGATGAGCTGGCGGACCTCCTTGGTGGTCACTCTTCCGGTCTGTTCGCCAGTGCCAGCGAACTCGGGATTCGACCGCGGTGCGGATGTAAATTCATCACCATGACGAAGCTGTCTTCTCTTGCGGGGAACAATCGACGGCTGAAAATCAGTCGACGAAAATAGGTTGGTTATTTCATGGGTGTTTGTGGGTACGGCTTCGGGTACCCCCACGGGTGGGTCCGCCATCGATTTTGGGGTTAGCTCCTGTTCGGCACACAACCACAATAGATTTATATCAAAGATAATATCAACCACAACGTCGCCCTGCTATTACAGTCGATGCCGGATCTATTGCCACCGTGCCAATTGTACAGACGCCGCATCGCTACAGTATGGATGGATGGATGATTTCATTTACCCTGACCTCTCGCTTTCGGCGATATACAGGATACAGCAACTATATATATCCTTGGATGTACATGTGTGGTGTCCCACTTCCTAAAAACGAACTTAGAGCCTCGTCAAGGCCTGTCGTGGCCCAGGTGCCGTTTGTGACGTTAGGCTGCCTTCATGGCGCGGCTGTGGTAGATATGCGAATGAGACGAACAGCAAATGTCCGCTTTTGGTTGCATCTCTGCTAGAAACCGCGAAAACGCGGGCAGGGCTGAGACAAGGAACCTAGATAGCGACTGTGTTGCAGATGCGGAATTGTTAAGATTTTGTTTCGTTGAGCGTTGACTTGTCTTATTCTCAAGCTGGGATGGTGGTGGTTTATTGTGGAAACGGCGGTGAAGATCTTCAATCGTGAGTATAGGTTCGGTAGGAAGGATGGGTTTTTGTGTTGAAGAAGCTGATTGCGGTGTGTTTGTGATAGATTGCTGAAGGACAGAAGCATAGGTTGTTTGCTTGGTTGGGGGCGAATAAGTGATGGACGGTATCGATTGAGGAGGCTGGGGAGAGTAGGTTGGTGGAGGTGTTTGTAGCTCTGAGTCGATTGTGGCGGATGGCGGTTGAGCACAGGAGTGGACGATAGTGTTCGAAGATTTTTCTATAGCAGTGGGTATTGTTGGGGTTGAATGGGTGGGTGTCTGTGTGCTAGCGTTTGCGGTAGTTTTCTTGAAAGGTGCGTTATTCGAAGAAAGATGGTGGCGAGTAGTTGACTGTTTAGGCGGCGAGGGTGTGTTGGTTGAGAGGGTAAGTGTGCCGGCAGTTTCGGGGTGTTGTTTCAAGTCGCTGTAGATAATCTGCCATAAGCAGTCTACTGAATGTGGTAGCTGTGCCTCTTGGAAAGGTACCCCTTGGAAGCTGTCTAGGCGTTTGAAATGTTGACAAGCAAAGCAGCAGGCCAGCCCAACGGAATATCCAGAAGGTTGGTAGTGAAAGCCATTTTGGGCCAGTTGAAGCGGGGTGACGCCATTGAGCAATTGTCCTTGGAATGACAGAGTTCTGGCAGTGATGGTGGAGAAGGCGGTTGAGACTAGGAATTTCTCCTGGACGGTGCGTTGTGGGGTAGGTCGATCGGGTGGAGTGGCGGGGTTCGCGGGTTCAGAGGTGGCGGCGAGTACGCCGAGGGTTTTTGCCCACCCTGGGGTTTGGAAGTTGAGGATTCATCCCGTCTCCTCCTCTTGACGGGTCTCTTCGGTCGCTTTTCGGAGGCATACCGCCTGATACAGTAGGGGCGAATACGCATCGCTACAGTACTTCCCGAAACTGGTGTCACCACCTACTCTCTTCGATTGTTTCTCGAACCCTAATGCCAAGGTCCACTATACTGTATTCGGAATAGCCCCGGAGTATCAATCTTCCTGCTAGATTACGTATACGTTACCTTACGCCAAGTGATACATGTACCTCGTGTCTCATTACAGTATGGAGTAGTTGGAATGCAAACAAGTCAAATATCAGGAGCTGAAGTTGGGCCTAGGGAATCTGGCAATCTGGCAAGATGTCAATTCTCTCTGCCACCACTCCTGCCCGTACCCAAGTGACGGTCTTGGAGCCTACTCTGTACATATCAGGTAGTACAAACAGTGACTTACAATACCTTGCTTACTTGCAGATTATACTCATGACCCTGCTCATCGCCATATTTAGCCTGTCAGCCATAAATTTTTCTTACCTTCCACTTCCTGACTCCATTCTGGTCCAAGCTAACATGGAATGATGTTACTAGGCTCTTTAGTGGGATATTTGGCCTCAGAGGGATGACCTACACTCCTTTTGATGATGATTATGATACTAACCAACCTGATCTACGAGGCCGGACTCCCTTGTATGTCCCAACCCCCGGTTACTACTTGGACCGTGAATCCATACCATCTGTCTGCCCTTCACCCAGCCCTGAGGAAATTTTCAATGAACGTCTATCCCCCTTGCATCAACCACAGTCCGACGAAGCGGGGTTTCTGCCAGTGATTGATCAGGAAGATGGAGGAACGTGGGATGGACAATCTGTAAACTGTATACGCTACCAGATTGAGTGGAGGGTTACTCTGAATAACCGGGTTGTGACAAAGGATACGGAACAAAACTTGGCTCTCTCACCTAGTTCTTACTGGGAAAATATCAACGAGAAAGCCGGAAGTCTTTTACGTCGGAAAATCGCCCGTGACCGACGCGTGAGACTAGACGATATTACTATTGTCGTATCTGTAAAGGACCTTTCCCAACGAGATCTTACCAAGCGTTTTGAGAGCACTGATATTGATTGGATAACTGTGGAATAGCAGCTGCTGGTGTGGGACCACTTGTACCGTCTTGGCAAGAAGCTTTTGCTCTAGATATCTATTAACTATATTGATGATAGTTGGGCTCTTTTATCTGGATGTGATAAAAGAGGAAAGTCATTGAACACTAAAAGGAGGCTAGCGGACCGGGACGCTCGGATTGACGCTGAGTAATCATCTGGCTAATACCCTGTATGGCGGGATGTGTATCGTGTCATGCGATGTCCTGGACTCTTATGTTGTTACGAAGGGCAATACTGCTGGCAAGACCTGGAAGGAAAAAAACACTACAGACTAAAAACACACCATATGAAGGCCCTTATTAAATATATGGAGCAAGGGGGAGACCTCGAGACCCATGACGACATCCCTGACAACGTTCGCGAGCAGCTTTATGCCGAGGAAAAGCAGCGACTTGAAAAAAAGAAGAAAACCTCGAACCATTCTTCGATCGGCTTAATGTGTCCTCCAATCAATATCAATAATTTCCTTCCAGCCCGATCATCTCAACAATCCGTGCCTTCTCCTTTTGCTAATGAAGCTTCGCCCGCCAAGTCTGCCTATGTTGAACCAATCATCGTTCATGGACTCCTTGATGTAGCAGTGGGGGAATATACCGAATGGCAGCAGTCACGGGCGAGCAATGAGGCTTTCAGGGACAATATCGCCAAAGCACGCGATGTGGCTCTCAAAAACTGCCTCGACCTCATGCAGGTCCATAAGGATCAAGACCCAGATTTCTTCGTCAAGCCTGGTGTGAAATTAGGTGCCGCCCGGCGGTTCGTAGAAGACATCGGCTATTGGGTAAATCGATGCGGAGAAAGCACTCGCCAAGAAACGATAATAACCTAGTTTATACAAGATGCAGTGAATAGAGAAGAGCCTACACCGGCATACTAATTTTTAGCTATCAATTGAGTTGAAACCACAAATACACTATAATATTATCCGTTGACCAGTTCGATCATAATCGACAACTTCATAGGTGTTCTAAATAACGTTCCCGAAACAGTTGTTTGCAGGGTTATCATCGTCATCGGAATGGCCGGAAATGCAAGTGGTCAATAGTGCATGGAGCGAGGTGAGAGGCCTCACAGGTTAACTCCACTACTGTGCGTCGTCATTTAAGACTCGGTCCTTTTTGTTGCTAATGGGTCTTGTCTGCGATTATTGCATTCCAGCGTGCTGGTCGGGTAGTGGGCGTGGAGCTGACACACATGGCAATGTAGGTGAGTCATATTGCCGGAATATCAGATGACCAGAGCGGGAATGATCTCGACTAACTCGATACAGGAATTTGGCGACTTGCTAAATGAGTCTTGGATTATGTCGCCGCAGACGAGATGCTAAGATCGGCGCCCAGGCGAATATGCCGATCATTAAGCTAACCACTGGAAATTATACATCAACAGATCGACACGAGGCCAGCAGATCGTCAATCCCAGTTCATGCGGCTGGGGGCGGATACCTTTGATGCCACTGTGCATGCCTCCGAGTGTGCGGCGCTGCTCGCCCAAAATCCCCAATTTGAACGTGCGAACTATTACAGTATTTCCGGAAATCGGTGTCACCCCCCACACTCTTCTATTGTTCCCGAACCTTAAACGCCAAGATACGCTAGACTTTATTAAGTAATAAATATAAATAGCAATTTTCCGGTTTTTTACAAATACAGTGACTTACAGAGTTAAGTTACATACAGTAGAATTCGAAAACAGTTTACCCCTCGGACACTCACGCTTTGTTTCTCGGCCCGTACCCGAAACGACGCTAGTCCATATAGGGTTACATACAAAATTTACCCTGTCTAGCAGTATTGTCGTTTTTAACGTACTGGGATGTAATGTCTCCTGAATCATGGTAAGTTACCGTACTATCCCATGGAAAGTTCTAGAGGGGATCTGGCAAACTGGCTTGATCCGCGCCCACTGCATTTCTTCCTCTCTCCGTAATCTTCATCTTCATCGGCGTCTGCATCTTACTGTACATTACGAAAGCTGTACTCCAGTCTACTGCTGTAGAAGTCTAATCCGGTAGGCTAATATGGTTCTTGTTTGTGCTCCTCATAGCTCTTGTATCCTTCGTCGCTTTCCTTCGTTATTGGGCGTCTGCCACAGATGGGATCGCTCACCTATGCTGACAGCCCACCAGGGCCTTGATCATCTGTAGATATGAACGACACCTCGTACCAAGATGGTTACAGGTCTCAATCCCAGGACCTTGAACCATCGGAAAATGATTCGCAATATGCTCCTACACCAGGAAACTTTCGGAGCCCTTATGCTACCCAGTCCGAGTGTAGTTCCTCCCCTTCGATCTCGCTCGAAGAATAGCCCAACGTCGCAGGTCGACTTCAACCGAACAATGTACCTCTGCTCCAGGAATCTGAATGGGATGCGGACAAGATCTACGACGAGGATTCGCCCAGCTGTATCCACTACTTCATAGAATGGCGTGTCACCCTCAACAACAAGGCCGTGGTTAAGGATACGGAAGAGGACCTGGTGTTGGCCCCGAGTGCCTACTGGCGGCTGTTTTGGAAAAAAAGCTACAAAACTGTCCTTGGAGAGAAGGTCAACCGCAACAAGAGAGTGAGGATCGATGACACAGCGATTGTCGTGGCAGTCAATGATCGTTCCCAACGTGATTTGACCAAGCGCTTCAATAAGACTGAAATTGTCTGGGCTCCTATCGAAAAACAGTTGCGAATGTGGTCGGGTCATTTCTGTCGTGGAAAGAGACTCACGTTGAGGATCTGTTTTAACTACGTAGAGGATTGCACTTTTCCATCCGCTGGACGAAAAGGTGACAAGAGAGGTAAATCTTCCGTGACAAAAAGAATGATTGATGATCGGGACGCCCAGCTTGACGCCGAAGAAAGCGCATGCGGCCAACAATCAATTTGGCGCCGTGTATACGGCTTGATGAAATGCGGTTCGGCTGCATGCCACTTGGGTCCCTATTGTTGGCTAGATCCAATGGGGAAAAGCCATTACCGACTCCGCACACAAACTCTTAGGCGATTGGTTACCTACGTCGAAAAGGGTGGTACTCTGGAGACGCATAAAGACGTTCCGGATGAGATCCGGGATGAGCTCTATATGGAGGAACAGCAGAGGCTCGAGAAGGAAAAACGCAAAGACGGTAATGTTTTTGGAGATAGAGGACCTTATCAACCTATCAACATCAATGTTCACCCATCCAGCCCTACTGGTTTGGCCCCGACGACCCCGGCCGATGCCACAGCAGAGCTGAGAGCTATGAGTCCATTGAACATCCCTGGGTTCAAAGATGTAGCTGTCAAAGAGTACGGTGAGTGGCTCGCATCAAATGTATCCGACGATACCCTCAAGGAAGGATTCCAACAAGCGTGTGATATAACACTTTCAGATGGCTTCGAACTTGAGCACATCTTCAAGGATCAAACCCCTAGTTTCTTCGTTGACAAGGGAATCAAGCCCGGAATTGCCCGGAGTTTCGTAGAAAATATCCGTGACTGGGTCGAGAACGTGAAGAGGGTGATGCCGATCGTTGAGGTGATATAAAACGATTTTTTGTGTTGCTAGCAGCCCTCCAGCGTTTTGAATAATAATATACACAGAGATATACATGTACAGGATGGATTGAAACCAGTTTCACCACTTCAATCTCGTGTAATCATTTTGAGACCTTGGGAAACACGCTAATCAATTACCGACTTTGATTTTAATCTTGAACCGTACTGCAAGAAGATTTCACGCCTTTTTACCTGAGGATATTACTAGTAATGGCTGAGAAAGGCCGGAAATCCATAGGTCCGCCCAAGTACGCTTAGCCGAAGACTTCCCTCTATTCCTATTTTCCTACTTTCAATCTCTTAGCAGCAATATACATTAGAGTGCTCCACGGCCGATACAGCCGTGACGAGCTACCCTTTTCAACAACCTATTTCGCATCCTTATGAGTCGCTTATTTGGCGATCTCAATAACGACTTTGCCGACTTGTTGTCCACCCTCGAGCTTTTTATACGCCTCACGGAATTCTGCGAATGGATAGACCTGATCGATAATAGGTCTGACTTGGTGCCTTTCCATGGCCTGAAGCATAGCTTCGAAATCGATCCGCGAACCAACAGTAGATCCGGTTACTGTGAGGGATCGAACGAGGACATCGATTGGCGGAAGGCCACCGCCGAAACCGCTTGCAAATCCAATCAAGATGATGGCTCCAGTGATCTTGGTCGATGCTGCAGACTTCACGATAGTCTTCTCTCCGGCAATATCGAGCACCTTGTCAACACCCTTTCCACCGGTCAGAGTAAGGATCTCCTGATCCCAATCAGGGGTGGTGCTATAATTCACAACGGCATCGGCCCCAAGCTCCTTGAGCTTAGCAGCCTTCCCATACGAGGAGGTGATTGCAAGGACACGAGCGCCGAAGATTTTCGCGAATTGCAACGCAAAGAGTGAAACACCCCCTGTGCCTTGGACCAACACGGTGTGGCCCGGCTGAAGGGGTTCAACTTTGTTGAGGGCTGTCCAGGCGGTAACAGCTGCGCAAGGAAGGGAGGCAGCTTCGACGTAGGACATATAGTCTGGAATGCGGACAAGTGCGTCTTCGTTGAAAATCACGTATTCAGCTAACAGCCCATCGACAGTGAAGCCGACGCTGCTTGACCGATATTCCGGAGTATATGGGCCAGCAATCCAGTTTGCAGCACAACCGACAGCGACGCGGTCGCCCTTGGTGATCCGTGCAACATCTTTTCCGACAGCAATAGCCTCTCCAGCACCATCGGACACAGGAATTCCGTTTTCCTTGGTCGGCGCACGATATTCGCCCCTCAAAAGGGCCGTGTCGCGGTAGTTGAGCGAAGCAGCGTAGACCTTAATCAGGACATCGCGGGGACCTGGAGTTAGGAGAGGTTCATTACGAAGTTCGGCGGTAACTTTGTCGCCGGCATTGACGATGCGAACAACTTTCATTTGTGTCATGTTCAGGCTATCAGGTTGGCTTCAATTGAACAAAAAATACTTTGAGAAATTGAGAATATTTTCATGGATAGCATATGGAGGGGAGTTACGGAGCTATATAGTTTTGGATCTGAAAGGTGCAATAATGGTTAAAACAGTGACGTAAATGTAACCTATATTTCGAGTGAATTAGTGATGGATTACGATAGCACTGTCGCAGTCGCGGACCTTCTCATGATTCATAAACAATTTCTCCCCGGCTCCCACCGGTACGGAGATATCTCATTGGCTCTTGAATCGTCGATCCGCTTCCATCGGTATCCCATCGGTATCCCACAGTCGGAGGTTCAGCGAAAGAATATACCATGGCCATATCTCGGGATCTTTTTCCCCCATTCCTTCAATCTCCGATGAATTTTGTACGACATAGATTCTGGTGCCTCAATAATCAACGATTAGGCCTGCGTGCCGAAAATGTCCTCTGGAACTGTCTTGTCGTTCCCCAACTTGGTTGATACACCGCTCAAGAAAGGATCCAAATTCTCGGTCGGGATCATCTGCGTAGTAGCACCAATTGCGTCTTATGAAGCCCTTTAGCTCAGCAAAAAACTCCTCATTTGGATTCAGATCAGGCGAGTACGGGGGTAAGTAAACAAGTTTGACTCCAGCATCGGCACACATTTGCGAAATCCGCTAAGAGTGATGAAATGATGCATTATCCATGACTAGAACAGACTTTGGCTCCGGCCATCTGCCGCAATGAACAAGAAGCTCATCGATGAAATCTTCGAACACGGCGGCATCCGTTGACCCACGAAAGACACGAGTAAGCAGAATGCCATCTTCAGCATATGCGGGCAGAATTTGATAACGCTCGTCACGGTGAAACTGTGACACTTGTCGAGGTGCAACAACAAGTGGTGACCAGCCTGTCCGTCGGAAACCGACTCGTTTATCACATCCAGACTCATCGACATAAACAAGGTGGCACGATTCGAATTCCGAGAGATTGTGAAGATAAACTTCTCGTAATTCGGCACTCTGTTCCTTAGCAGTCTGTCTGGCGGTCTTTTTGGTCCAGCGTTGGGATACAAGGGCCCTCCTGATACTAGAGGTGGTTACTAGCGTCTGAAATTCATCCCATAGAAATATGGCCATTTCCTCTAGATACAGACCTGGCTTTTCTAGCAGGTGGTCACAGAGCGCTTCTATCATCGGTGGTGTTATAATTTGTCTCCGACCGATCCGAGTCGGGGGAGCATAAACGTGTCCAAACTGTCGCAAGTTTCTGCGGATGTTTTTGATCGTTTGTTCGCTGCATTCTGCTGCCTCCGCCATTTGAGAACGGGTTAACGACTGGCTTTCTATCATATCGCGAATGAGTTGCAGTTGTGACAAGGATAGTCTCGGTGCCATGATGTGCAAAAATTTCAGTAGTTCCGAGATGGTGGTGCTGAAAAGGATGAAAGTCAATAATGGAGGGGCAGTGAAGGTAGGGTTGGATGGGAGTTTCATGTAAGATACGGTATTATACGTTAAGCAGTTGTTCTGGAAATAAAAAAGGTTTATTATTAGAAATGAATTATTTACGTCTTATCTAAAAACAGATTAGTGTAGTTTCGGGTACGGGCCGAGAAACGAAGCTTGGGTGTCCTGGGGGTAAACTGTTTTCGAATTCTACTGTACCATTTGCTTATGTGTGTATGGTAGATACGAGTATTGCTGGGACCTTCTGGAGCATTGCAAACAATTCAAACAACTCCAGCAACGCTGGACCTGGCGAACCTAACAACTTGTCATCTTCTCCGTCCACGCAGCGTGTCAAAGTGGCAATCCTAGCGCTTACCCGCAATCTTAGAACCTTAACAAACCCACAACCTTACTGTACGGGCCGATCTACCATATTCGGACTAACAGAAGACCAATGATCCTTTTGATAACCGTACAGTACTCAGCCTGTCAGACACATACTCCTCTACCCTATGCGTGACGGCAGCCTCTTTGTTTCCAGCTAACGTACGATGGCGTCTTAAATAGGCTCCTCAGTAGTATCTACTGCTTGGAGGGGATGGCTTACGCTGCTTTCAATAATGATGACATCAACCAACCTCGCCCGCCTGATCTTCGGGACCCGACTCCCTCGTATGCTCCTACACCTGGCCGTGAATAGACGCCTTCTGTAATCTGCTCCTCCCCCGACCCCGAACCATCAATATTCAGTCAACTTTCATCACCGTTGCACGACCCGCAACCCGATCAACCGGGCTTTATGCAAGAAGGTGAGGTGGATGACGGTGGATTGGATTATGTCCATTACCAGATCGAGTGGAGGGTAAAACTGAATAACCGTGTGGTGGCAAAGGACACGGAACAAGACTTGGCCCTGCCACCTAGGTCTTACTGGGGGCGGATAAAGGAAACGGCTGGAAATATTCTGCGGAGAAAGATAGCCCATAACCGACGGGTGAGACTAGATGATACCAACCTAGTGGTGTCTGTAAATGAACGCTCCCAGTCTGATCTTATCAAGCGCTTTGAAGGCGCTAGTGTTGACTGGACCACGGTAGAGAACCAACTGTGGGCCAATCTCTACCGTCTTGGCAAGAAATTCCGAATTCAGATAACTATTAACTAAATATATGACCATGGCCGGCTTCCATCCAGCAGCAACAAAAGAGGAAAAACATCTGTCACTAAAGGAATGATTACGGAACGTGATGCCGAGATGGATGCCGAGCAGGCTTCCGGGGGGTCATGAAGTCTGGCGAGATGTGTACAGAATCATGCGTTGCCCTGGACCTCCATGACGCCATGAAGGACAATATTGCTGGCAGGACCCGTACGGGAAAAAGCATTACAGATTACGCACAAACCACTTGAAGATGCTCACCAGACACGTGCAGCAGGGAGGGGTCATCGAAACACATGACGACGTTCCCGATAGTCTTCGTGAACAGCTTTATGCCGAGGAGAATCAGCGGCTTGAACGACGGAAGAAAAGCTCGGACAGCTCTACATGTGGATCTACATGGCATCCAGTCCACTTTCATCTCCCATCTCAAGCGCCCACCCCTACACCTACCGCTGCTGCTGAATGTACGAGCCTGGCTCCTACGCAAACTGATCCCATTGATATTCCTGGACTTCTCGATATAGCCGTCGAAGAATATGCTACCTGGCATCAGTCACCGGTCAGCAGTGAGACCTTCAGGGAGAATATTCAGAAAGCCCGCGATGTGACCCTCGAAAATTGTCTGGACCTCAAGCAAATCCACCAAGATCAAGATCCTGATTTTTTTGTCAAAAACGGCGTCAAAGCAGGAGCCGCCCGGCGGTTTGTTAGCGATATTGCCCGTTGGGTGATGCGAAACCGCGGTACTATTGGAATTGAAGAGTAAACGTAATATGTTCGGGCACTATACAGTCGTTGAGACCTTATACATAAATCTAATTTCCTTTTACCCAGAGGTACAGCTACTTGGGAAATGCCAAGGTTTAGTCAGGTCATTTGGCATCAGAATAGAACGAGAATATGACATACATATGAAACACTTTCCACATTTTGTCTAATACAAGATTGTCATTTCCAAGCCTGTCCCTAACATGCAACTCTACCGCGTCTCCGGCCCGGCGGGCGTTGTTTAACTCGCTTTGCTTGGCTCAATCGCTTGCACCTGGTGTCTCGCTGGGGCGCGTCAAGAACTTCTGCGCGCGAATCTTTCCGTCTTTAAGGCTCTTTAGACCTTCAGACAAGCCCTCGAGACCGTTTTTACCTATAGTGTAAGGATGGCTTGTGAGCCAACCCTCGCGCAGACCCCGAGCAAACGCTGCGCCCCATGTCACGCCAATGAGCTTGTCGTTCTCATCCTCGTAGTGAACCTGACCGACCATGGAGAAGACGATATCAACACTCGGGTCAGAGTCCTCGACCTTGGTTTTCATAAAGATGTTAGTCACCTTTGGTCTCCGACCAGCAGCGTCCGGCGGGCCAGCAATGACCTTAGTGACGAGTCTGATCGTGTCATCTTCGGAAACGCTATCAAAAGCCTTCCAGCAGCGGCCGTCGGGAGCACCCCCCTTCTTGACAGCCTCCTGGATCGCTTTGATTAACTCTGCCTCAGTACCATAAGCGGTGTAGTCAACGAGGACATCTCCCTTACTCTCATCAAGGAAGGGCTTGATAAATTCGCTTCGCTTGCTGCCAACGGCAATGATAGGATGAATATTGGCGGCCGCTGCAAGCTTGATAGCGAAAGCTCCTGTGGCAGTACTGGCTCCATAGATGATAAGGGGACGCTTAGTGCCCTCCTTGCCAGCGGCCTTAGAGAGTGGCAACCAGGGCTCCGGTAACTCGAGCTCCTGAAAGAGTGCGCAGACGGATGTGTAGGCGGCTAGAGGAATCGTGGCAGCTTCCTCGAAGGTTGTTGAGTCAGGAATGTGGAACGTAGTGTAGTAGGGTGCAATGGCGTATTCGGCGAAGGCCCCTTGCGAGGTCATCATCTCGTGGAACGCGGCCACGCGGTCCCCTTTGTTGAATCCGACGACATCCTCTCCCACGGCTTCCACGGTACCAGCGATATCGTCACCGGTGTTCATATCAGGACCGCGCATGATGGGGAGCTTCCAATCCTTCGGGTTGGAACCTTTCAAAAATTCGCGTTAGCTACCGATCAAAATATTGGGACCGTTACACGTATACGCCGTCCATGCAAGTCCTCCAAGATCTGGTACCTACCGGCGACGATAACCTTGATCAACACATGGCCAGGCCCCGGCTTTGGAATGGGAGAATCGACAATGTCGACTGAGGTGTCCTTCTTAACAATCGCTTCCTTCATGATGAGATAGTCGAGGTTCCTTCGTGCTTTCAGGTGGTGGGCTCGATTATGAGATAAGACAAAATTGTTTTGGGAAAAGGGTCTAATGCATAAGACGAGTGTGGCTACTGTGGTATTTATATAATTTGCAGAATAATGTGACCAACTAATGACAGCATAATAGGCTGATAAATTGGTTCTGGGTAAATAGCTAATTATTAATCGTTGAATCATCCGCAAATTCGATTTCCGCTTCGGGCATCTTAGAAGCCCTCTTTTCCCCACATAGAAATAACGAAGTACCTTCCTGTCGCCCGCATAATCCTTAGTAATTATATAGTGTCCATTTTCCCTAGTTGTGTGGATTCCTATCTCTTATGGATGTCATGTTTGTCTAAGTAGAATTGTGCAAGCTAAAGCCTCAAGGCTGTTTATTTCTTTCTTGATATTAATCACGCTTTACATTTGACATCATTTGTCTCCAGCCAATATGGCTCTTGAGAAAAGGACAGCGGTGCGATAGACGTAACGAATACTAACATAAATCTCTACAGAGAAAGTTTGGAACTAGAAAACTTGGAACGGCTACTGACATAACTCCATCAGCACTGTTCGATATCATTTGAGTTTTGGTGGGATGCCGGTGGGATGCCGGTAGGATGCCGGTGGGATATCGGTGGGATATTGGTGGGATATTGGTGGGATGCCAGCGGGCAACCAGTGGGCGGCCGGCAGTGTATGCAGCCGTCAGGGTCCGGCTACCAATCATGACCCACGGAATGAATTGGATCCCAGATCCTTGTATAGGAGTGACACAAGCTAGCGTCTGTGAGGTAGTATCAAAGCACCCGTTAGGTCTATAAGTAATCCTATCTGTCCCTAGATGGAAAAAGGTATCACACATGTACCTCATTCCAGGGTTTCAACTGTTTATGAGGCTCTCCTTTCTAAGACTAGCTTTAGGATTGACAGATGAGCCATCCATACATCTATCCATTTATACTGTAGTAATTAGAAAACCAAAGGAGCACGACGTGAAATTTTCACTACAGATCTTCTATATCAATACCTGCGTTTCTGAAATGGCCTCTTGCGCCCTGTTTTTTTGCTCCAACCTTATCAACACACCAGTCGAGGAAGTAATCGAACCCTTGATCCGTATTTTCGGCGTAAGAATGCCAATGACGCCGAATGAAAGCTTTTAGCTCCGCAAAGAACTCTTCAATTGGGTTCAGGTCGGGGAGTACGAAGGCAAATATACTAATTTGACTCCTTTATCGGAACGCAGTTGCTCGATTCTCTCAGAACGATGAAAGAATGCGTTGTCCATGACGAGGACCGACTTGGGCGCGGGGTATTTTCCACAGTGATAGAGGAGTTCTTCGATAAAATCTTCAAAGAATGAGGTATCTGTCACTCCTTGGAAGACACGAGAAAGTATGATTCCGTCTTGTGTATATGCGGGGAGAATCTAATACCGTTGATCACGATGGAATTTGGATACTTGCACAGTTGTTGTACCGAGGGGAGACCAGCCAGTTCTTCTCATCCCTATCCGCTTATCACACCCAGATTCATCTACGTAGACGAGGTGGTATG